TTTCTCCTTAAAAAGGACCCAAGATGATTTACATCATTTAAAGATAATATTAAAACTAAAAAACAGTAAGTATACAAAGACAAAAAAGAATCAAATACCTGTTTAAGAAATGGTAAACAAAAGCAATACAAAAAAATACATTCCAAGCAGTAAGGCACAACAACCTATTTAATAACCCCACTCAGGCAGCCAGTCTCTGAGGAAAAGTTTGTCTTAAGAGAAAAGTCTTTGCCTGCTTACAGAAGGATAGCAAAGATGGGGCCAACCTGGCCTCCTATGGGATGGAGTTTCAAAATCTGTGAGTAGCAACCAAGAAGGTCCTCTCTTGTGTCCCCCTCAGACACACCTGTGAAGGCGCCAAGAGAAAGGCCTCTCCTGATGATTCTAACACCCTAGCAGACTCATAATGGGAGACATAGTCTTTGAGATAGCTCGGATCAAAGTGTTTAGGGCTTTATAGGTTAGAACCAGCACTTTGAATTGATCCTGGAAACAGATCATCAGCCAATTAAACTGCTGTAATAGGGGAGTTATGTGATCTCTGTGACCAGCTCCAATTAGGGATCTGGCTGCCAAGCTTCGGATCCCCTGAAGTTTCCGGATACTATCCAGAGGTAGCCGCACATAGAGCACATTACAGTAATCCAGCCAGGATGTAAGTAAGATATATATCACCATTGCCACATCAGACTCTCCAAGAATGGGTACACTAGTTTTAAATGTGCAAATGCACTCCTGGCTACTGCTGAATCCAAGCTCAGTGAAAAATCCAGGAACACCCTTTGTGGCCTTCATAGATCTTACAAAGGCCTTTGATTTGGTTAGCCTTTTTTAAAATACTTCCCAAGATTGGATGTCCACCTCAACTCCTTAACATCATCAGGTCCTTTCATGGGGGAATGAAGGGCACCGTAGTTTTTGATGGCTCAACATCAGATCCCTTTGACATCGGATTCCAAAATATCTCCTGTATGGAGAATTAGGGCAGCAAAATCGCCCCAGAGGGAGACCACAGCTGCTATACAAGGATATCTGCAAGCAGGATCTGAAGGCCTTAGGAATGGACCTCAACAGATGGAAAACCTTGACATCTGAGTGTTCAGCCTGGAGGCAGGCGTTGCATCACAGCCTCTCCCAATTTGAAGTGACCCTTGTCCAGCAGGCCGAGGCAAAGAGGCAGTCCCGAAAGCAGCAAAATCAGGGAGCTGGACAGGGGACAGACTGTATTTGTCTTCA